GAACCGTGAACTAACCGTGAACCGCGAACTGGTTCATGAACCGGGTTCACGGTTCACCTCGTGAACTGAGAGTGTCCGCTGCCGTTTCTCGCCGCATTCACTCTGCGTCTTGCCGCAGTCGCTCTTGCCCACCGCCTCTCGCCTGCCGGTGTTTTCCGCGCGTCATGCATTCGCTCTCCACGCTCCTGCTCGCGGCCGTGCCCAGGACCAAGGAGATCGCGCCCGGAGTCCACATGCCGACAATGTCGCTCGGCACGTGCTGCGGCTCTGACCCGAGCGTCGGAGTCGCTCCCTGGCTTGCGTCTGGCGGCGTGGGCATAGACACTGCCAACGACTACCACGACCAGCCGGCCATCGCAACCGCGCTCAAAGCCACTGGCGCGGCGCGCGACAAGATCTTCCTGACGACCAAGGTTCCTGCCGGCGTGGCTGCGCTGCACGGTCCCGGCAAGCTCGACTGCTCGCTGGATCCGCAGCGGGCGGTGGACGTGCTCAAGGAGAACCTGGCGCAGCTCCGAATGACGCACGTCGACCTCGTGCTGCTGCACGGACCGTGCGAGCTGCAGGGCACGGCCGCCGCCGTCGACCCTGCCAAGGCCAACGCAGCTCAGTGGCAGGGCATGCAGATGGCCCTCTCGAGCGGGCTCACGAGGGCCATCGGCGTCTCCAACTACAACGTGACGCACCTTGAGGCGCTCCTCGCGGCGCCGACGACGCGCGTCAAGCCCGCCGTCAACCAGTGCCAGATGTCCATCAACGGCTCGGCCTTTTGCTCGCCCGAGACCGGCGTCTGCCTGCACGGGCCGGGCCACGACGACGCGACGATCGCCTTTTGCCGGACGCACAACATCACCTGTGCGCGCCGACGCCCAGCACCCGCTCGGCCACAGCCTTGCCGTCGCCGCCCCGTGACACCCTCGCCCCGCATGTCGCGCAGACGAGGCTTACGACGTGATGAGCGGCTGCCCCTTCCACGACGCGCGCCTCGGCGCCATCGCGCGCGCGCACGGCATGAGCGCCGCCCAGGTGTGCTTCCGCTGGACGCTGCAGCGAGGAGCGATCCTCGCCACCGGCACAGGTCACAACGCGACCAAGGCCGCGCTGCACTCCAAGGACGATCTGGGCACGTACGACCCGAACTTTGAGCTGACGGGCGAGGAGATGGCGTACCTCGACGGCATCCGTCCTCAGCGGGAGGGTGTGAGGACGTGAGGCTGAGCGGGTGACGACAGAGAGTGTGGTGTGTTTCGGCGCGGGATCGAAGTCACATTGCATAAAACCATGTAATTTGTATGTATGTGTGGATTGCGCCCCTGTCATATATGCACGACGGGGACTTGCTCCTTTTTACCCATCTCCCAGTAGAGGTGTCCGTTTACATATATATGTATCATGCACGACACATCCCACTACGTCTCTATATACGCCCATTCTCTTTTTTTCACATACAGGGCGCTCGAACAGACAAGAGCGGGACAGAGACGCAGAGAGATCTCTTATCTGGCAGCGTGGCACCGCGCGCGGCCAGCACGCGCATGTAAGACGTGTACCGAGACGAATTCTATAGCCCGATCCTCACGCCTTCCGCTGGTCGTCCATGTCGAGCGCGACCAGCAGCGCGCCCATCCGCTCGTCGGCCCTCCGCATCGCCTCCCCCACCTCGGCCGCCTCGCGGTAGCACACCTCTGCTCGCTCCGCCGGCCGCAGCTCGGGCCCGAGCTTGTCGAGGAAGACGTCTCGCGCGGGGAGGCCGCCGAGGCAGACCTTGAAGGTGCCCCGGAGCACCCAGTTGTGGTACCGCTCGAGGTGCGCCTTGTACGCCGCCGTCGCCACCGCGCTCAGCGTCGCGCCGCGGTCCGCCGCCAGCCCCTGCAGCAGGCCGCGCTGAAAGGCGAGCGAGCGGCGCAGCCAGGTGAGGGCGATGCCGGCGGAGGGGTCGCGCAGCACGCCGCCCGGCTTGTGGACCCCGCTCGCCCGCTCCGCCTCGAGCAGCCCTCGCAGCGTCGCCACCTGCGCCGCACCGCGCCGCTTGCCGAGCGCCTCCCACGCCTGTGTGCGGCCGAGGACAGGGCGCGCGGTGAGAGGGGAGGCGGTGAGAGAGGCGGCGGCGAGGGCGTGTGTGGGGGAGAAGGCGGTGTTGATGGGAGGCGCGCAGCGAGCGAGGCGACGCAGCGGGCGGCACGGGGGAGGGGGGCAGGAGTGCAGAGAGCGGCGGCGAGGGGAGGTTTGGCGGCGAGGGGAGGTTTGGCGGCCGCACCTTTGCGAGCTTGTCCAGGTTGGCGAGGTCATTCTTGACGGCGGGGGTCATCATCGAGCCGAAGACCTCCGTCACCGCAAGGTTGGTGCGGAAGGCGGCGACCAGCAACTCCACGTCCATCTCGCCCGACCCCGCGCCGTCCTCCTGGTCGCTGCCGCCTCCGGCCGCCATCGCCGCCTCAAACGCCCGAGTCGCCGCGTGCAGGATCGAATGCGGACCCGGCGGCGGCGGCGACGGCGACCGCCGGGGCGGCGGCTGAGACGACTGCGTCGGCGGCGGCGGCTGCTGCGGCGGCGGTGAGGACGCTTGTGGCAGCGGCTGCGGCTGCTGCTGCGGCGGCGGCAGAGGCTGCTCTGGCGGCTGCGGTCTAGGTGGCGGTGGCGGCGGCGGCGTGTGCGGCGAGAGCGGCGCGTCAATAATCTCGCCAAAGTCGGCATGCAGCTCGTTGCCCAGCTCGAGGGACGCGCGCTCTCTCTCGTCGGCCTCGTCTCTCTGCGTGCAGCGCTCGCTGTCCTCGTGTAGCAGGAGCAGCTCGACGACGCTGTCCGGCGTGGGCTGGCGGCGGTGGCCGAGGAGGGTCGGCGCGGAGAGGAGCGTCGGCGCGGGCGCCGCGCCGGGCTCCTTCATCGGCGACAGCGGCATGTCGACAGAGATTGAGGAGAGCGGCGTGTGCTGCGGAGCGCCGCCAATCGTCTTGCGCACCAGCCGCCCGAGCCACCCCCTGGCCCGGAGGACGGCCCAGAGGAGGAGGAGCAGTGCGAATAGGAGGGCGGTCCACAGATGTATCTCGCCCCTCACGCGGTGGTCGCACCGGCGCTCGCTCCAGCCAGGCCCGCAGCTCTTCTCACGCTGCACTGCGGCTGTCACAGAGAAGAGGAGGGTGCAGTACAACACCGACGCCAAGAAGGCACTGCGGAGCATCTCGTCGAGCCGCATGCGACTTGAACTTACGACAAGGAGCGGCTGCGCGTCTCTCTCTTCGACAAGGAGCGGCTGCGCGTCTCTCTCATGAAACCAGGCTGCCGCAACGGGCCGACCTTTTTCTTTTTGAAACAAACTAAAGGCGAAATGGCATATCGCTCTCGGGCCCACAGACATCCCGCACACCCGCCGCACACCCGCCGCCCCCGCGCGCGCCCCACCCCGGCCAGGAGAAAGGGGAGTGACAGTTTGGGATTGAAAGCCGAGTACCTCGCACTCCATGTGCGAGAACGCAGGGTAAATGTAAGCCGGATGGCTCACAGGCCACCTCTTGCGCCCCGAGCTCACCATCTACCGCACTGAGCACTTGTGCCCCCCCGCTCCCAGCCCATCCACCTCGCCTCGGGCCGCGCCGCGCGATCTCGGGCGATCTCGCGCAATCTCGGGCGATCTCGGGGCCGCGCCGCGCTATCTCGGGCGATCTCGGAGCGTCGCTCGCGCGGCGGCACACCTGCTCAAAAAAGGAAGGAGGTTGGAGGCAGGTCGCAGGAGGTCACGCCCCATCCAGAGCGCCGTCGTCGCCGGGTTTTTGGCCCCCGGGTCGTCGCCCGACGGTTGCTGCGCGGGGCAGCAGACCATCGGACGGCGCGACGACGCCCCGTCCGGCACGCTCCCCCCTCCACCCGGCTATTGCCGCACGAGCGCGGCAACGCCGACGGACTTCCCGTCCCCCCACCTGCGCCGCAATCACCGCCTTTTTTTTGAGCTTGAAACAAACGCAAGGCGACATGGCATATCGCTCTCGGGCCCACAGACATCCCGCACACCCGCCGCCCCCCGCGCGCGCCCCACCCCGGCCGGGAGAAAGGGGAGTGACAGTTTGGGGCGGAAAGTCGAGACAAAACAAAGTCGAGTATCTCGCACTCCATGTGCAAGAACGCAGAGAGAAATGAAAGCCGTCCGGCTCACAAGTCCGGCTCACGCGCCCCGGCTGACCGATCTACACCGCACTGGCCACTTCCGCCCCCTCGCTCCCAACCCATCCACCTCGCCTCAGGCGGTCGGGCCGCGCCGCGCAGTCTCGGTCGATCTCGCGCAATCTCGGGCGATCTCGGGGCCGCGCCGCGCCATCTGATCTCGGGCGATCTCGGAGCGTCGCTCGCGCGGCGGCACACCTGCTCACAAAAAAGGAAGGGCCCGGTTGGAGCCACGGGGCTCACGTGCTCGCTCGGTACGCCGCCTCAGCCCTCACTCTGCGCCACTTTGAGGCGTTGGCGAGGGCCGGTGAGGCGGCGCCCCGCGCGGCGCGTTCATCGCCCTCCACGCCGACCCCTGCGCGCACCGCTCATCTTGGCCCTCCTGGGGTTACTCTCGCGCTCGCGCAGGACCCGGGGGACTCCCTCCCCCCCCCACCTCCGACGAGTTGGGTCGGTGCTGCGCCCCTTGTGGCGCCTGTGCATATCGCGTGCCCGCCCCCCATAAGGCTGGTGCCAAGGCCAGATCAACTGCCAAGGCTGGTGCCAGGGCCAAATCAACTGCCTGGCTGGTGCCAAGGCTCTTAAAGGCTCCCCTCTGGTGAGGCCCTCTCCATCTCTCCTCCCTCTCAAGAACTCTCTCAACTCTCTCTCTCCCCTGAGACTCTCTCTGCTCGCTCCGCCCTCTCTCTCCCTCCCTCTCTCCCTCCCTCTTGCGCGCCCCCCCCCCCCCCTCTTCTCTCTTTTCTTTTTTGCAATTTGGTTGTGATTCCGATTCTAACGTCCCCTGCTGCCTCGCGCGCGGGCCTCACGCCGCCGATTCTAACGTCCGCTGCTGCCTCGCGCCCTCACGCCGGCACCCACGCCGCGTCGCGCCGCTCCTTGAACGCGGCGATGCCCTCCTTCGCCTCGTCCGAGTGGAAGAGCTGCTGCGAGAGGGGCGCCGCCCAGTCGAACGCCTCCTCGCGGCTCATCTGCGGCACCCGCGCCACCAGCTGCTTCGAGGCGGCGAGCGCCTTCGGCCCGCCGCGCACGAGCTTGCCCACGAGCTCGTCCACCTACAAGAGGGGCGGCGCGGACGCGTTCCAGACACGAGGGCCGCCACCGCCGTGCCCGCGGCGGCAGCCTGCGCGCCTTTGCGTCCAGCTCCGCCGGCGGAACCGCGTAGTTGACCAGACCTACCGCCGCCGCCCGCGCGGCGCTGATCCGCTCGCCGCTGAGGAAAAGCTCGCTCGCGTCCGCGCGCCGCAGCTTGGGCAGGCACACCACGGAGATGACCGCCGGGCAGACGCCCAGCCGGACCTGCAGCGGAGGCGGAGGTGGAGGCGGTGGAGGAGGTGGAGGCGGAGGCGGAGGCGGAGGCGGAGGTGGAGGTGGCGACGGCGAAGGGTGGCGGTGGTGGGCGCTAGGCGGAGGCGTCCGGGATGGCGGGCGCGGGTGGCGCCCGGCGGCGGCGGCGTGGCAGGCGGAGGGGGAGTGGCTCGCCTCTGTGAAGCCAATCTTTGCGTCGTCAGCGACGACCGACACGTCCAGCGCGGCCGCGAGGCCAACGCCGCCGCCCATGCAGTGCCCCGCCACGCGGCCGACCACCGGCTTCGGGCACTCGACGATCGCATCCAGCACAGACACCAACGAGTGGCGCGGCGCGGCGGTTGAGCGGCCGCTCAGGTCCGCGCCGGCGCAAAAGGTGTTGCCCTCGTTGGAGAGCACGACGACGCGGACGTCGTCGTCGGAGGCCGCCGCCGCGAGGTGGTCGCCCAGCGCGTTCACCAGCTCCACGCTCAGCGCGTTTTTCCTCTCCGGCATCGCGAGCGTGATCAGTGCGACGCCGCCAGCCACCTCGTATGCCACAAAATCGGTGGCGGGCGCCTCGTCCGCCGCCGGCGGCGGAGGCGCCGCGACGCGCCCGAGGGGGACGTCCACCATCGCCCGAGCAAGCTGCGGCCGGAGAGGCCGCAGACGACGCGCAGCAGACAGGAGCAGGGCCGTCATCGTGAAGCTGCCGCCAAGACAGTGGCCGGACCGGATCGTGGCACTGAGCGCGCGCAAGGAGAAGAAAACGCGCGCCGTCGTCGAGTGAAGAACGAGCCCTCCCTTGGGGTGTCCGTTTTCTTTCTTTTCTTTCTTTGAAGAACCACAAAACTAAGATAAAGAGACTTTTGTTGCAAACCTAAAGAAGAAAGGCGGCGCGCACGGTAAGGATCGTCGCGGCACAATTTTTATTTTCGCTGCTCACAAATGACCCAACGATATCTCGGCTAATCTGCCGGTCATATGTACATGTATCTCGGCACACCTCGGTAAAGAGGTGAAGGATCATCGATCGTGAGGCGCCGACGACACACAGGTGAGCCGCCCTCGCCGATTTCCTCAGAGGAGCCGTCCAGAAAATGCTCACACTCCAGGACGGGCAAGGCAGCAACACGCTCACCGCCGACGTGCCCTGCGCCTCGCCCTCCACTGAGACTGCGCTCTCCGACGACAACGACGCGCCCGAGAACCCCTACAAGCGACGGAAGGTCGAGTGGGCCAACAACGAGGACCTCTTCATACTTTCGGCTGTGAGGACGCTCGGTACGCAGTGGCCCAAGATCGCCAGCCAGCTCCACAACCGCACGCCCGACGCCGTCCGCAACCGGTGGCACCGGCTGCAAAAGGCACACGCCTTTGACGCTCCCGACAGCTGCCAGCAGCGGACTGACGCGGCCGATGCGTTGCTGTGCGCGGCGGGCGCGCCGGCACCCGGCGGCAAGATCAAGGGCGACTGCATTAGAGGCTCCGACCACGGGAGGACCATGTGGAGCTCGAGGGAGGACGAGATCATCGAGTCGGGCGTCAAGCAGTTCGGGTGCAAGTGGCGGCAGATCGCAAAGCTGCTTGAAGGACGCTCCGACTCGAGTATCCGCAATCGCTGGATGCGGATTTTGAAGGAGCGTGAGGCGGCGGCCTTCAAGCCTCCCGCCCAACCGCACCGGGAGCCCCCAGCGCCCCTCTTCAAGATCGCCGCGAGCGTGCCCAACGGGCAGCTGGTCCAGCTGCCCGTCGGACAGCCGCCAGTCGGGGTGCCAGTCGTACAGGTGCCAGTCGGACAGGCGCCAATCGGACAGGCGCCAGTCGGACAGGCGACGAACGTGCACCCCGGCGGCTGGATCCCGATGCCTCCCCAGCAGAGCTTCGTCGGCAACCCCTCGGCGGTCTACCTGCCGAACGCCGTCACGATGGCGGGGCCGATGTGGTTCCGTCCGCCGCCGGCCAAGACTCCGCCGCCGGCTAAGCTGATGCGGCAGTCCTCTGCGAGCGACGCCAACGTGCTTGCTGGCGTGAGGGCGGCGCCCGAGGCGGAGAGCTGCTAGCCAACCGCCGCTCTGCCCCACGACAGTTGTTTACTTTGCGGCGCCCGCGCCTCACGCGCCCTGAGAAGCGAAGAGCCTCTCGCCGCGTCCTTGTACTGTCCCCGCCGCATGCGTGCTGGCCTGTGGCTCTAGGTAGAGATGCATGTGTGCTCCCGCATACGCTGTTCACCTCCTGTCGGTTGCTCGCCGGTTCGCGCACTCAGTATGTACCTCGAGGTCTGCGGGGTTGTGCGCGCTCACCGGCGGCAGCGTGTGTTCATAGTCGTCCCGTGTGGTACAGTATTCGCGCGCCCGGCAGCTCCTGAGGCTGCTCGGGTGGCGCCTTGTTCACTCCGAACACCGAACACGTATGTTCTATTCCTCAAAAAACAAAAACCTTACTCCTTAGCCTCGAAAACCCCGAGAGGGTTTTTATGCTTCATTCGCTGTTCATCGGCGTGCCGCCGCCTCTCGGTCCTGCGCTGTGCGCCACTGCGAGTAATTCGCCCGCCTAGCGCCATCGGTGCCAGTGCGCGCCAGTCCCGTGCCACAAATAAATAATAAATAAAACGGACACCCCAACCTAAGGGCTTTTTACCCACCTCACAGTAGAGTGGTGTCCGTTTTTATTTATTTATTTAAGGGCTGGGCGTCCCCGCGCAAGTCCAAGTGAAAGACAGGAGAGATGGGTGACGCACAAACCCGAGGGACAGCGCGCACCCCGCCCCGCTCGCGCAAGTCGTGTTAGTGCCAAACTCGTTGGAGCACTTGCCAAAGAAAGAAAGAAAGAAACGGACAGCCCAAGAGAGGGATGGGAGGAATGTAGTGCCAGTCCGGCCAGTCCTATTTTTTGCGGGTGGAGCATTGAGAGAGATTTTTAGAAGCCAACAAGAAATCTGGCACGGAGGTGATTTATTTGTTTGTGTTAGTGCCAAAGAAAGAAAGAAAGAAAGGCGAGACTCAAACGAGGGATGGGAGGAGGACAAGGTCCCAGGGACGGAAGGGAACGGGAGCGGGACCCGCGGGTTTATTCTTTTGCTCTCGCCCATTCTGGCTCGCCCTCAAGAGCTGCACGCACATTTCACTCACGGGCCGCACTCGCGCTCGCACTGAGGCGAGCAGCATATCCATGCATCGCTCACTGCGTCGCGCGCCTCGCGGCCACGCCTCGCTACGCAGCCCAACATAATAATACTCACGACACTGATCAGTCTGCGGCGACATTGCGCTCGCAGGCGCTTTCGGCAATATGATCCAGATGAAGATCCAGGTGCCGCTCCACCACCCCGGAGGACCTGTCGAGGCAGCGTTGCCGTGGGGCCAGGTTCACACCGTCGTGCTGCCGCCGGGCGCAAGGCCTGGGCAGTTTGTCTACTTTCCTTGCCAGCTTCCCCCGCTTCCCGCCCTCCTGCAGCCTTCCCACCCGGTTGGAATGCCGCCTCCGTTGATGCTGCCGGCTCCACAGCTACCGCCTCCGCCGCAACAGCAGCCTTTCCGGCCGACCTCTCCGCCCACTCCGCCGATGTCCCCCCTCCGGCGAGTGCCGCCGTCCGAGTACAACGTCGACGACGAGTCCGCTTTGGCCCTCCTGCAGCAGTTCTCGTCTGCGCCGGGCGGGCTCCAGGCATGGACGCCGGAGTCCGGACTCGAGGTCGACCTCGACATGCGCTCTGAAGCGGCGCTCCGCGCTCTCTCTGTCGCGGACCTCAAGACTCGATGCCGCGCCCTCGGTACGCCCGTCACCGGCAACAAGGCGCAGCTGATCGAGCGCGTCCTTGACCCCGCTTGCCACCAAAAATTCCGCCCTGCCAAGAAGTCTGAGGCCAACCCCCGCTACGCGGGCTACGGCCAGATCGGAGACGACACCGCGGGCCTCGATCTCCCCGAGTTCTGCCAGGGCTGCGACAGGGCCTTTAGCCCATCGCTTCGCTTTCTGGACTACTTCGCAGACAGCGAGGGCGGCGACGCGCTGTGTCTCAAGTGCCACGCGGATCTGCCGCCGGGAGGAGCCGTCGCGGGCTCCTGCTCCATGCGAGTCGGCGACGTCGCGTGATCTCGCGACGGGCCGCTTGTCACCGGGGCGCGGGGGCACTGCCGGCGGACTCGCCACTTTTTGAGAGGAACGCCGCGGTCGACAAAGGGCGAAGTCCAAAGAGGTGAGAGCGGGCCGGGTTCGTGGAGACCACGCCCTACCTCCCTGTGCGGCGGCGCAGCGCATGGTGCGGCGGGTGGCGGCGGCACGGCACGAGACATCGCAACTCTCTTATTCGAAACCGAACGGCACACACGGTGGGGTCTGCTCTGTCTATCTCAGAAAAAATGTTTTAGGGCAAAACCCTGGGCACATTGGGCCCCCCCCCCCCCCCCCCTCCTCTTCGGACTAGACACGTGCACTACAAGTCTGGGGTTGGGTTGGTGGGCTCTGTCGGCTCGGGGCATGGTCGGCTGGTTGTGAGCGGCCGCACACTGCTCGGTACCCGCCCTGCACATCTAAAGTCATGCCCGACCCCCCCCCAGCAGCAGCAGAGCTCTGGTGCTGGGGGGGTCGGGACCCCCCCCCTAGCAGCAGAGCTCTGGTGCTGGGGGGGTCGGGACCCCCCCAGCAGCAGCAGAGCTCTGGTGCTGGGGGGTGCTGGCAAGTGGCAGCTCTGTACGGCTTTACAGACAGCTGGAGCGATTTTTTTCGCCGGCTTGCGCCGCCCAGTCGTCGGCAAGGTGCTGCATATGAAATGGCTTGAGGGCGAGCTGCATGGCTTCCACCACGTCGCTGCCCGCCATTGCGGCGACGCGTCGCGGCGGACCTGACAGTTTTGCCGGGCGACGGGCGTGCGCGCGCGCGCGTGCGCGTTTTCGAAAAAAGAAAAGGCACCGTCACCTTGATGACTTCAGTCGATCGATTTCGACGAGCGAGCGGTCCGAGGATCGAGCGGGGGACCGATAGGCTAGGGAGATCGATCAACGTCAGCCGAGACGCCCGAGTGAGTGGCTCACTATATACGCTATGGAGAAGTTTGTTCGAGACCTCGGGAGCGGCCGGCTATTGCCTATTCACACCTCGGCAGTGTGGTTTGGGCCGGGCAGGGCAGTGTGGGTTTCACACCCGGGGCTTTTAGTGTGGTAGTACATAAGTACAAGATAGACTCACATGGTCACAAGTCTTTAGTAAAACGCCAGCACTCGACACGACGAAGGTGTATTGGGCTCGAAGGCGCGGTGAACACAACCGCCTCGAGCGTACCGCTCAAACACGAGCCGAGGGCACTCCTTTTGCTGCCACTCATAAAATCGTTGGGTCGCTTCAGTTCACGAGCGCGGGCGCGATTGGGGAGATGCAGGTGGGAAGACCACCTGTCGGGTCGCCGGGCCGTCGCGGCACCATCCACGCCGCTGAGGCGCCGACGCGGTACAGGGGGCCCGCGATCTGGGGCCACGGCATTCGAGTGCGAACAGCTAGGGAGGTCCCCCCGTGGGCCGACCCTCCGATTTTATGAGAAGAGAACAAAGGGAGTGAGCCGAGGGGGGAGAGGGGCGGCGGCGAAGAGGCGGGAGCGCTGGGTCCAGTGCGCTCTGCTGCTAGGGGAGTCGGGACCCCCCCCCCCCACAAGAAAATTTTTTTTTTGGGGGGGGGCCCCCCCCCCCCCCCCCGCAGAGTTCTGCTGCTGGGGTCAGACCCCCCCCCCCCCCTGCAGCAGGGATGACTTTAGATGTGCAGGGGGGGTACCGAGCAGTGTGCGGCCGCTCTGTGTTGCGATGTTGCGGATTCCGGATATGTTCGGTAGGTGCGGATTGCCGACGTTCGCCGGCCTTCTGCAGAGGCATCCTAAGCATGATCCTAAGGAGCTAAGGTCAGCAGCTCAGCCCCCTCGGCGCCAGGGATCGCGCGGGGCGCAGCACGCCCTGTGTCTTCTGCGCGAGCTCCGAGTCCCTGGTTTATCAAGGTCCAAGTAATGAAACGGGCCTCGTTTTTCTTTTTACGCCGAATTCACTGGTCTCTTGGCAACTCGCTCACCCCACAGCACTTCGCGTATCCGCGCACTGAAGACGGGCAGTGGCCACGCACAGCGTTTATAGAACGCGGTGTTTACACTCGAGACACGAGAGGGGAGAGCCGTCTCTCTGTGCTTTTTCTCGGTTTTTCGAGGGGAACACACTGATCATAAACTGTATCTACAATCTGATAAAGCCGTTATACTGCTACACTGGTCACTGCACAACCACAAGCCACACAACTGAGGAACTGTCGCGTCAGTGTGTGTGGCGGGCCGGGTGTGGTATAAAGTGTATTACAGTTACCATGCATAAAATCGAGTGGCCTAGCATGCCGGCTCGCCGACAGTCCCGCACACACACACACTCACACACCATCTCTACATGATACGGCTTCGCCTCCGTCCAACGCACTCAAGTCTGACCGGCACTGTATGGCGTTGGGCCAGAGCCCACCGGCGAGAGAGCGGCCCTCGTGCTGCTCTTCCCGAGAATGGAGCTAGGCGCGACAGCGCTTCGTCAGCCACTGCAGCCGCGTCAGTGCCGGACAACGTCGGGCATCCGGTGGATTACCGCGTCGCGCTCGTCGACGCCCGCCTCGCGAAAGAGCGACGAGTAGTCGAGCGGCGTCAGGATGAGGAACTGTCGGCCCGGCTGCTGCCGGAAGATCTCAAAGAGCAGCTTAAGCGACGCGGCCTGGAAGGACGAGTCCATGTTCTTGTCGAACTCGTCGAGCGCGCGCATCGGCGTCGCCGAGAGCTGCCACATGGCGAGGACGAGCGACAAGGTCGAGAAGGCCTGCTCGCCGCCCGACAGCGAGCGGAGCGCCGTCGTCGAGCGGGCCGCCGCGTCGCCCGCCCGCGGCGCCACCTGCGCCTCGAGCACGTCCTCCTTGTGGTCGAACCGGAGCGACCCGCCCCTGCGGCACGGCACGGGCACAGGCTCGTGACGCGTCGGGGCTGCTGCTGCTGCTGCTGCTGCTGCTGCTGCTGCTGCTGCTGCTGCTGCTGCTGCTGCTGCTGCTGCTGCTGCTGCTGCTGCTGCTGCTGCTGCTGCTGCTGCTGCTGCTGCTGCTGCTGCTGCTGCTGCTGCTGCTGCTGCTATCTCCGCACAAACATGCTGTTCCCTCACACACACAAACTCATGACGACGCGGCGGGGAAGCGGACGGGCCGTGAGGCGTGAGGGGCGCACATCGAGCGGCGGCTCAGGTGCATCTGGAAGTCGGAGACGGCCTGCACGCCCTGCGCCTTGAGGAAGCGGCGGTGGAACTTGTACCGCTCCTGCACTGAATCCTCCACCACCTTGGCCGTCGCCTTCACCGCCGTGATCTGCTCTTCGTGCTCCGCCATCGCGCGCTCCGCGTCACGCTGCGCCTGCAGCAGCGCCGCGTAGGTGGTCTCGCCGCGGTTCTCGCCGCCCGCGAGGTGCTCCGCCTTCTTGAGCGCCGCGCGCATCTTCTGCAGCCGCTTCTGCACCGCCTCGACCGACTCGCCGCCGCTGCTCCCGGCGCCGCCGCCCGCGGCCTCGGGCTCGGCGAACTGCGACGCCACTCTCGCGCGGATCCCCTCCGCCTCCTCCTTTGCCCGCCCCACCTCGAGCTCTTGCTCACGCAAGGCGCGCGCCTGCCGCTCCGCCGCCTGCCGCGCCTTGTGCACGGCGCCGTTGGCACGCTTGAGCTCCTCGTCCAAGCCGCCGTCGCCCTCGGCCGCGCCGCGCCCGCCGAGCGAGCGCACCTCCGCCTCGGCCAGCTTCTGAGAGCGCTGCAGCGGCGGCACCGCCTCGCTCGCTAGCCGCGCGGCGCCCTCGCGCTCCATCTCCTCCTGCGCGAGCCGGCCGATGTCCGACTCGATCTCGGACAGGTCCTCCTGCAGCAGCCGGAGGTCCTCCTCCACGTCGTCGCGCAAGCCCGCCTGCTCGACGCCGGCCATCTGCCGCTCGGCGGCGCGGGCACGCTCCGCCGCCTGCCGCCACCGCCTGCCGAGCGCCTCCTCCTCCTCGCGCCCGCGCGCCGCCTCGGCCGCCGCGCCGCGCGCCTCCTCGGCCGCCTGCGCCGCCTCCGCCTCTGCCGCCGCCTGCCGCTGCTCGAGCCCGCTGAGCACCGCGGCCGAGTCCATCCGCATGAGCCCGCGCGCCGTGTGGCTGCCGGTCTGCTCCGACGCCTCGAGCTCGCCGCGCAGGTAGTGCTTCATGCCGTCGGCGTCGAAGGCGACGAAGGGCACGCGCTTCTTAAACAGCTCGCGAGCGTCTGTGAGGCCGCCGATGAGCAGCGCCTCGGGCGAGTAAAAGTTGAGCAGCGCGTTGAACGCCTTGGGCGGCGGGGGCGGGGCTCAGCTGGGCCGCGCTGGAGCCGGGGCTGAGGTGGTGTGCGGTGCCGCCGTGCCCGGGGAGCGCGGCATCGGAGGAGCGGCGAGTGCACGCCTGGTCGTCGTCCACTTCGACGGCGTCGAGGACGGAGGCGACGTCGGGGTGGCGCGAGGGGGCCGGCTTGAAGCGCGCCTCTCGCTGCTGGACGAGGATGCGGACACTGCAGAGCTTGGGCGCGTGCGTCTGTGGGCCGGGGTGGGGGGTGGGGGGT